TCAACTTTGCCACGTTTTCTTATTTATTAATATTATTTTATTTACTTTTTCCCTTTTAAATAGATCTTTGGGATTCATTTCCCATTGCGTGTACAAAAGCCCATAGATTCTACCGACGTGTCCAAAGGACACCACGCGGTTCGGTCTATGGGTCATCACATAAGTGTTCCCCTTGTGTGATGGGTGATCAGTAAGCCCCTAAAAAGGCCGAAAGTTCACAAGTGGTATATACCTTTTAGATAATTAAAGATTAAATATTTAAATACATATCGTTTCGATATTTAATTAATATGATTAGACTAATGATCATTGTTAATTTAAAATATCTTATTTAAAAAAAGCGGGTAAGTCGTGGATGTCGCTCTGCTGTACAGTAGGTTACTGTAATGGATGGGATTAAATTTGAATGCAATGATAAGTATCATTGTATACGAAAAACGATTCTGAACGAAGATGATTTGTTTGACTCGTTTGAAGATAAATCGTTATCGTTAGTAACGTTTTTAAAATCACAATAACCAACTGTCGACCAGACAGAATTTGATTGACCTAACAATATACACGGCCAACAAAATTATGCTTGTTTGTAATAGCTTCCACAAAGCCAAGAATGCAAATCATACCACGCARGATTAAACAGTCGACTAAATACTTTGCCACCTTTTTTGTCAAGTGATTGGCATGACAAAAAAKGAGTTGGCTTGCCTTTTCTAATCAAATCATTTTTATGAATATTATTCCAACGCCTAAAAGGCGTTTCAAGTAATATCACTACTGGATCATTTATAGGATCCATAGTTTCAGAATGTGATACAGTGACAATTATTCACGTGTACTATAAAGTAGTATACAACAACAATATAATTTCGCTAATCGCTATAGCTTTGCGTACAAGAATCAAGAACCAATAAGACTTATATTAAATTAACAACGCACACGAATAGGAAACACTGAGTACAGTAGTCTACAGTGGTCTACGATTACGAGATAAAACGATAAAAGTGATTAGYAGAATAGGTAGTAGAGATAGCAGATAGACGACAATACAAGCACAGACTATGATTAAACAATTCGATACGAATAGAAGATAACTGCAGTGTTGTAATTGTACGTCGTTTAGCTGATTTTTACGCAGTGTCA